CCCCCCCCCCCCCCCCCCCAGGGGGCTGAGAAAAAGATGCTGCTGAGGCAGCTAGAGAGGGTCTTGTTTTGTAACATCAAGAAAAGGAACTCTGGAAACATCAAGAATTCTTAACAATGCAGAAGAGATCCCCTTTAATATCTGGACATCATCTGTGCAATCTTGCTTGAAGGAGACCTCTCTTTTGTTTATTGAACTTTGGACTCTGTCAGAACTCCTAACACCAGAACTGTTCAGTTTTCACCTTTTATTTTACTGTTGTTATATATTTTGTCTCTTTTTATGAATATCTTTTTCTGTATATTTCCTGCAACGTTTCTTTTATTAAAGGACGATCTTAAAAATCGTTAAGCTTATCTCTATGCTCTAAATACGAACTTAAAGTATTAATATTATTATTACATAGTATTTATATGACGCCAACAGTTTGCGCAGCGCTTTACAATATAAGGAAGACATTACAATCACAATACAATTCAAGACAGGATGGCAAGGAGGGCCCTGCCCGTGAGGGCTTACAATTTAAAAGGGAGGGGGAGGTGATACATGAGGAGGTAGCTGTGTGGGGATTAACTGTTTGACAACGTGATAGCAAAGTGGTTAGGTTGAGGTGGGATAGGCTTCCCTGAAGAGATGAGTCTTTAGGGAACGCCTAAAGGCAGTCAAGGTGGGAGATAGACGGACAGGTTGGGGTAAAGAGTTCCAGAGGATGGGAGAGACTCTAGAGAAGTCTGGTGGCGAGTATGGGAGGAGTTGAGAAGGGAGCTGGAAAGCAGGAGGTCTTGGGAAGAGCGGAGTGGACGGTTAGGGTGATATTTTGATACAAGTATCCTTGGACCTGTGAAGAGCGCTACTGTATGGTGATCGGTATTATTCCTTTATGAGAGGAAAGAGATATCATAGACTGTACTGTATAGTGATCGGTCATATTCCTCTATGAGAGGACAGAGATATCATAGACTGTACTGTACAGTGATCGGTCATATTCCTCTATGAGAGGACAGAGATATCATAGACTGTACCGTATAGTGATCGGTCCTATTCCTCTATGAGAGGACAGAGATATCATAGACTGTACCGTATAGTGATCGGTCCTATTCCTCTATGAGAGGACAGAGATATCATAGACTGTACTGTATAGTGATCGGTCCTATTCCTCTATGAGAAGACAGCGATATCATAGACTGTACTGTATAGTGATCGGTCCTATTCCTCTATGAGAGGACAGGGGTATCATAGACTGTACTGTATAGTGATCGGTCCTTTTCCTCTATGAGAGGACAGAGATATCATAGACTGTACTGTATAGTGATCGGTCCTATTCCTCTATGAGAGGACAGAGATATCATAGACTGTACTGTATAGTGATCGGTCATATTCCTCTATGAGAGGACAGCGGCATCATAGGCTTTAAGTTTTTTGAAGTGTCTCAGCACTTGCGGTGCGTACTTCCGTTAAAGTACGTGGTGGCAGTGAACGTTTGATGTGTAAAGGTTTAACTGCGGAGTTAACCAACCCTGGTGACGATCGCACTCAGTCTGGTGTCCCCTGAGCTGGTAAATATCTGTGCAACCCCGGCCTTCTACAGCTAACCTTCTTTCCCTGAAGGTTCTACGACCATATGATGTATGGGGGAGGAGTTATGACATGTGAACTTTTTAAAGCATTTTGAACATTGAAATACCAACAAGGTGAGGTGACACTTTTTTCAGTCTGGCGGAAAAACCCACCAGGAGACGCTTTGCCACCTCCAGGAAGAGAATAAACTGCTGGGGAAGAACAACAAACCCACGTGTGATTTAATTAACACTTTACTGTATACAGATATCTGACATTTTGATAATATTATAGAGTGATTTCTTATATACACCGGACTCATTTATTTCATATCGGTCACGCCCCTTCCTAGTAAATGTACACATTAGACATGACTGTAATTCATTCTTGTATGGTGACTCTATTCCATGGATCATCTATCTTCATCAACAGAGAAACTTCCTCTTCTCACCGGAGATTCTGCCACATTTCCTGTAAGTGATCAGTACATAGAGTAGAGCCCAGATCTGAGCGATCAGCCCTGACCAGCCGCTCACAGCACAGATTTATACCACAGATTGTAACTTTCACTTTCACTTCTGGAGAATCCTATCACCGGAAATAAATTATCTCATCAGATCCAGTCAATTCCGGAGCTTTATACTGCAATGATGAAAAGTCTCCAAAACACACATTATTACCTCAGTAATACCCACACCCTGGTAGAGACATTCTAATAACTTCAGTGTCCCCACCACACATTATTCTCTTAGCACTGTCCTCATCACTAAACACTCTTTGCGCCCCTGTATTCTACCTCTTTCTACAATGTCTGTACTACGTTCTCTGGGAACACCTTCCCCCATCCAAACAATATGCTAAGCGATCTCAACACCATCCACACTACATTCTCTGACATCTCTCCTCCCACCATCCACACTTCATTCGCTGACAGCTCTCCTCCATCATCTACACTACATTCTCTGACCGCTCTCCTCCCACCATCCACACTACATTCTCTGACAGCTCTCCCCCCACCCACACTACATTCTCTGACAGCTCCCCTCCACCATCCACACTACATTCTCTGACAGCTCTCCTCCCACCATCCACACTACATTCTCTGACA